CTAGGAATGGAGTGAATTTGGGGCCGAGATTCTTCTGCGGAAACACAACGAGTGCACAGAATTTTGATATTGATCTCTCTAACGAAGAGAATAGGAGGATAACGATCAACAGGTATGGTTTAATTTTGGATTCGGAAAAAAAAAGAAAACAAAAATTCAATGTTGGTGATTGAGTCGTGGGTTTTCTTCTGTGATAGATTGTTGTATAGGAGCAAGCAACGAGGGTTTCTGGAACTTGATCTGGTTTTGGGAAATTGGGTTGAGGAGAATGTCAATTCCATGGACGAAACCACTGTCAAATCCCTAATTCATGTCTTGGATTTGGTATGTTTCATTGTCTCTGTCTGAAAATTTTCACGTTACGCTACAGATTCTCTTGTGTACATATGCATCTGCAATCATATCATTGATACACATAAGGATACATGTAATAGTTTGGAGGAATCAAAACGTTATAAAATCCGGGTGAATCGTTTAGCCAGACTGCGGCTGTTTCGAGTGATCTTACCTCGGTATGATCGAGGTAAGAGTTAAGGAATGTTACTCAGGCGTCGATTGTTTAATGTTTTCCCTCTGTTGATATCAGTTTGGAGATATCAATAGTAGCTTTTCTGTAATAACTAGATGTCAATCACAGTACACATGGATTTGCTAAGAGCATATGGTGAAATCCTCATTCTGTTCATAGTGACCTAGAAGATGGAATCAGGAATTCTTAAGATTAGTAGATTCAATCTCCTTAATCGTTTTTTTTTTTGTCTATGCAGGAAAATCCTGATCTCTGGAAATGGCTAACTGATCAGGAACAGCCTCCAGAGGCAGTGAGCTCAAATCCGGTAACCATGATCTCATAACCAAGCCCACATTTGATAGTGTATATATATCTTCGTATGTTGTACTCCAATGATTTAAATACCCCTTGTTGTGATATGAAAGGTATTTTCGGCGTTGCACGAGAAAGTAATGAAGAATCTGAACAAGCATGCAGCGCCAGAGACTCGTGCAGCAGCTGGACAGCCTTGGGTCAAAGGCTGGGACGATTTCAAGAGAGGCCGTGATGCTCCCATTTCAGGAAACCAGTAATATCACAGACTCCTTACAAAATAACATTAATATAAAAGGTATCTTAAATAGATACCAAAATGTAGCAACCATAAGTTTTGCTATTGTACTAATAAAGATCCACGCCCTGAATGAAATGATTACTGTTTGTTAAAGTTCTTGATAATTAATATATAAATGTATCAAGGGATGGTAGTTTCA